TGTATGTAGCTGTGGTTTCCAACCCTCGCACAAATGTTCCTGGTTGAAATAAATAACTGCCAATTAAGAACAGAGGCCCTGGGTACGAGGTTGCCTCCAGATCTGGAGTTTTCTCACTCAAAACATTCTCGTCCCAAGAGCCATTTTCACTTGGACACTCGTTGAAAACTAACCTCTAGGTTAGACGACTAAAGGGAAAGATCTGATTGGCTTCTTAGAGAACTGCTATTTCCCAGAAGTTGAGCAGTTTTCGCCAGGGGAACTTACTCTATCAAAATATGTCAACACAGATACTTGGTTTCTTCGTAGTACTTTTCTGTGAAAATTGTTACGGGTGCCAAAGGGTCCCAATTCAAGAATAGCGAGCTTAAGGTAATTCCGCAGTTTTGCATTGCGCACTTTTACTGCGCACATCTTATAACTTATAATTTCATCCATTATACGTACCGTTTAAAAAAAATCTTTTTATGACAATTTTATATTACTTCAAAACATCTTTGGTTACATTCGTGCAAAGAATTACGTTAAAATCAATGTTTTTAAAAAAGACATACAAAAGTGTAGCTAGGGTTCCCTGCGTCTGTAGTATATTTATTTACTTGTATTTCACGTTTTAATGCCACAATTCCCTAAAAAGATCGGTGACCCCCGTTTTTTAACTGATAATTTATTTCTTTAATGCATTTTACATTTCATATCCGAAATTAAAAGAAAAATCATTTCTGGATCTTGAAAAAAAAAATGCTTTATCAATGCATGTTCTCAAAGAAAGATATGTAAAGAAATGTGGAAAAGACATTTGCATGGATCAGAATTGTACACGTTAGTAGTTTCATTTTGCTCAAAACACAAAATTTTTTCAAAAATAATTACAAGATAGGTTTACTAAAGCAAAATCCGCGCTAAAAACATCAACAAATATCGGGCTGTTGTGATTTTGCTGTTACTCGTAATGAGCGTCAAGATGGCGCCATATTGGGGGTAAAGGTGGTATATTGTGATTGTCATATCTTCTTAACGAGTTCGATGACCCCGATTTTTGTGTGATTTTAGTTTAAGTATATCATAAACTCCATGCCTGGGAAGTTTCAGCACATTCTCATTTCGGGAACAATTACTGCGGAATTACCAAATTCCAAATAAGATGCACCAAATCTACGACGCTGACGTGACGAAAAACTGCCGCTATTATCACAGTTTCGCCTCACTGGTCAAAACTATGGATAGTTGTTTGTAAACAAAGCCAGGGACACGAGAAAAACAAAGTAAAACTAGTCTCCAATTATTATAGCGACTGTTTTTAGTCGCGTCCGTGTCGCAGATTTGGTGCATCTTAAGCCGGTTTTCCACAAGCGAATTTTTTCGCGCGAAGCGACCTTTTTCCTTTGTTGGCATCCATTTTGCAACGTCTTGCTGACGTAATAAGTATACCGACAAAGGAAAAAGGTCGCTTCGCGCGAAAAAATTCGCTAGTGAAAAACCGGCTTTAAGCTCGCTAGTATGCGCTTTTGAAACTACTGCAAGATTTCTTGCACTTAAGGTTTCGTGTGACCCATGGCCTATAAAGGTCGCGCGTGGCCTAGAGGCCCTGGGAACGAGGATGCACTCAAACTTACCATGCCCCATTTCAGTCTGTGCATAAGTCCCGATAATTTTATACTTCTTGATTAACGGCATCCATTTTTCAAGCTGTTCAGGTGTGCTCTGATTCTAAAGAAGACAAAAGTTTTTCGCATTTCCCAATGTGTGAAAAGTGAACTGTCAATACCAAGTTAATAATACACAGTTTCATGGAACACCCCACTTTAAAAAAAAACACCTGCTATTTGAATGTACTCATATTAGAGACCTTACGATTTAGGACGGCAACGCGACGACGACGGCCAAAACAAACTCCTTCAAATAAATGGTATAGTAAAGATAATTCGTGATATATTATCAATCGTGTGAATTTAATACAGTCTTAATTTAATACAGTCTTTAGAGACTTAGAAGTTGAAGACATGGGTTTTATGTTTGGGAAGAGTTCTACTAAACCCAGTTTGAAGTTGCACTTGTTGCGGCTTGAAATACAGCCGTTGTATCAAGACGTGAAAATTTGTGATTTGGCGTTGTAAACAGAGCGAGGACAATGTCAATTCTTTTCAATGATTTACTGTATTGGTATAGCCGTTGCCGTCGCGTTGCCGTCCTAATTAAATCGTAAGGGCTCTATTTTCACTAGGGGAAAAACGTCCCCCCCCCCTGGGGAAAGTTAGAATGTTTGGGAGTTCTCATTCTCATCCCCAGAGACATTAATTTATTTATTTATAAACTTTGCCGCCAAAAATTTATACAACGACAACGGCGCAGGTACATCAACACAGCGTCAGCCAATTACGTTGATGCCCTGGTTCTACAGACAGTACTAACAATACATCCACTCGAACTCGAAACGTACACAACACATCTATCTATTTACATATAATTACAGTTCAAAGTCCACATTAGCCATCAAGGCTAGTCCTAGAAACAACAGTTCTTGAACGTTTTTAATGATCTTGCTAGATGGCACTTGGGACATATTGTTTTCCATGACTTGGGGTGATCTTTGTCGAAGGTGGTCTTGGTGGCAGTTAGGTAATATTGGGAAAGGAGGGATTTAAATCGATGGTATGAAATCTCTGGCAGACGTAATTCATCGGGAAGAGTGTTCCATATCCGTGAAGCTCTAACAGCATAACTGTTCTGATAGCAGAGTGTCTTAGTTTTTGGTATATGATATGTCACGAGGGTGGTATTTTGTGACCGTAGGTTCATCCTTAATTTGTTGTTTTGTTCTGGGAGGATATTGAGGTCAGATGAAATAAATCCACGTGTAAGTTTGAATAAAAGGAGAACGTCCATATATTCGTGCCAGTAGCTCAGTGGTAACAAGTTTAAGGCCAACAATCTTGATTTATAGCAAGTGTCAGTTTCAAAAGGTAAAGCCAAGATGAATTTAGTTGCCCTCCTTTGAACATTTTCCAATTCACCACACATGCTTACGGTTTGTGGGCTCCATACCTGTGACGCATAGGCCAGGTGAGATCGGACTAATGCCAGATATAAACTACGTCTAGTGCTTGCATCTCTAACATGAACTGTCGAACGTTTCAGCATGCCAAGCATACGGTTCGCTTTGGTAATCTTCTCGTGTATGTGGATAGTCCATGTAAGGTCAGAAGAAACTGTCACTCCAAGGTTTTTCTGACTGGGAACGTGCTGCAAAGCTCGAGCATCGATGACGTAATCAGCAACGATTGGGTAGCGTTTTCTGGTGATACTAAGGACTTTGCATTTCTCTGCATTGAAATTCAGTCGCCAACTATGCGCCCAGTTCTGCACATTTTTAAATTCCGTGTTTAGGTTTCTTGCATCGCTTAGGGACTCGATGGTTGAAAAGCATTTTGTGTCGTCAGCAAATAGAGAAACGTTCACAGATGGTGAAGACACTGACGAAGGAAGATCATTGACGTAAATTAAGAATAACAATGGTCCAAGGATCGACCCTTGAGGGACGCCAGACGTAACTGGGAGGGAATCTGATGTTGCACCGTGAACTAACACACGCTGTTGTCGCTCTGAAAGGTAGTTAGAAAACCAGTTTAAAACTTTGTCCGCGACACCGAAATGAAAGAGTTTCTGAAGAAGTAGTTTGTGGTCGACGGTGTCAAACGCTTTGGCAATATCCAGATACAAGATATCGGTTTGCAATCTCATGTCAAGGTTTTTGCCGATACGATCAAGAACGGAAAGCAGTTGGCCAACACATGATTTTCCTCTTAGAAAGCCATGCTGTTCATCCGATAACATTTTCTGAATGTGATCTACCAATCGATTATAAATGCAGCGCTCGAGAACCTTCGCAACCACACACATCAGTGAGATGGGTCTGTAATTCTCAACGTAGCTTTTGTTACCCTTTTTGTGAAGTGGAATGATATTAGAGAGCTTCCATTCCGTCGGTAGATTGCCAGAGTTTAGCGATTTATTAACAAATATGTTAGTGATGGAGCGATACTAGAAGCACATTCTTTCAATAAACGTGTGGGTATGTTGTCAGGACCAAAGGCTTTATTGGGATTCAGACTGTTGAGTGCATTGCGAACTTCGCACTGTTCAAGGATGATCTCTGTGATGGATTCATTGGAAACAGGTGGAACTGGATGGTAGTTCTCATCAGACTCTTTTAAAAACACCGAATTGAAATAATAATTGAAAAGGTTAGCTGTTTCTTGTGCGTTGCTTGAACTGGTACGCGATGAATTTGTACCATTTGCAGAAGACACTTGTTGTGGTATTCTGCAAGACTTAGTGGTTGTTTTGAAGAAGGACCAGAAGCGTTTTGGGTTGGAATACAGAGACTTGCTCATTGAAGCAAAAAAAATGTTCTCGACTGTCCTTAATTAACTTCTTGGCTGTATTTCGAAGTGATTTATACTTTTCCGTGATCGAGTCTGCACAAGTCTTGATGGTGCGTCGCAGTTTTCGGCGAACCGTTTCTTTCTTTTTGAGCACATTCAATATTTCACCAGTAATCCATGGTGGACTAAACTTTCCTTTGATGGTCTTCTGAGGAATGTAGTTGTCAGCGATTGTGAGAAAACTATCTCTCCAGCAAGTCCAATCGTCGTTAATGTCAGAGGTGGAATCATTTGTCATCCAATCAAACTCGAACGTTTCCAGAGCCCTGTTCATTCCTTCAAAGTCCGCACGTTTGTAATCGTAAGTTGTTCTTCTGATCTTGCGAGAAGCTGGTAATTTTTGCGTGAATTCAAAGAGAATGCATTTGTGATCCGAGAATAAATTATATGTAGAGGAGTCAATGATATCGACATTAGCAATGTTGTCAGGCATATTTGTGAGGAGAAGATCAAGAGTGTTCTGTTCTCTTGTTGGAATGTAAACCAGTTGACTAAGATAATGATCGGACAATGTATTGTAAAAGAGATATTCAGGTTCTCCACCAGGTATTACAGCACTTTCAGACCACGAGATTTTAGGAAAGTTAAAATCACCGGTGATGATTATTTTCTCGTACGCACGGCCAGCCCACTTCAAGAACTCTTTAAAAGAGAGAAACCAATTCTGGGTAGAATTTGGAGGTCTGTAGCAGCAAGCTACAAGAGTCTGCTTGTCTTTGCCCGTACTACACTCAACGCAAACGATTTCAAGATCAGGGTATTGATCAATGGCCACTTGTTTAACTTCAGTAAAAGATAATTCCTTAATAGCGATAAGAACACCACCTCCAGTTTTATGTTTTCGATCGACACGAAATACGTCGTAGTTATGAGGAAGAATTTCTTTGTCGAGATGTTTGTCAGACAACCAGGTTTCGGTGAGAAAGATCATGTCAAGTGGTTCAGAGTATGCTAAATCCAGAAAGTTTGTATGGTTTGACCATGTTTCTCCGTCGGGTAATTTGTGCCAACTGAATAGACTGCGGCAGTTCCAACTCAAACAACGGAAAGAAAACGTTGCATGGTTATCTTTGGTCTTGCAAGAATTCGATCAAGTTGTCAATCAACGGCTAAATTCGGTTAAATGTTAATCATTAACCAAATGTTTTGACGTTTTGAAACTCTGCGTTTTGAAATTAGTTCACGTCAATTCAGACCAGAAATGGAATAACATAATAAAAGAAGCAAATTAAAAGATACAAGCTGAAAAATAACACTCTAAATAGTGTTTTTGATAGAGATTCGAACAAGAATATTTAACAAAGAAGATAGGTCCGAAGGGGCCGAAGTTATGATCGGCGAAAGGTATGGGCTAGTCTATATTTTCGTTCAGACAATTGCATGCGTATTAATTTGATAATATACGATCTCGCTTGACTTTCAAAGGCCATAAATCGCAATAATGTTGACATTTTACTAAAACTATCGATAGGAATTAGGAGATATTTCTTCACTGAATCGAACAGCGGGATTTTCATATAGGCCTATCACGTTCTGAACCAAAGATACTTGATAGATATTATATACGAACCTCCAAAGTATAAACAAGGGGCCGGTTGATGTAGTAATTATCAAATAACAGTTAAACTCTTATATACCCGTTGAATATGTATAGTTGTAAACAAATAAAAACTATCGTTCTATATTAAAGGTTCAATATTTTCATTTTGGTTGTTGACTGATGACGAATCTATAGTATAACTTGCATGCTTTGTATTTTGAGCTTATTAAACCACCGTTTTAAGGCAGCTAAACAGGCTTGGTTTATATTATAAACACATAAAATAAATTCCTTGATTCTCATCACTAGACACAGTCTACACTTTGAAATGTCGAAGACAGTGGGAGATTTATTTTTTATATTTTATATTTATATAATTTATATATCAATAGTTCGTATCTCCACGAACAATGACAGAATGACTGAGTTTCTTTAAAATACAATGAAATTTCACTCAAAATTCTGTTTGTTTCAAATTGAAGTTTAAAATGGCAATAAAAACTCTATATAAAATATGAAAAAATTAACTGTCTTGAATTATTTTGTCGGGCGGTACATTTATATTGTATAACGAAAAATAAAACGTTTTCACGAGGATTTTAAAATTCAGTCGGGCGGTGATGAGAATCAAGGAATTTATTTTATGTTGGGCAGTTGGGACTTGGGAGCAGCTTGGGAGTGGCTAATTTTGAATATTTACTTAATTAATGCATCTATAAATAGCGTTGATGCTTCAGGGGCGGTAGTTCATTTACACCCAGTTTTGCGGCAGGCGGTATTTCCTAAGTACCGCCTGCCATGCAGGCTACCTTTGTTTCAATTATATTTTCAAATGCTCGAATGAAATTGTCGTATTCCATAGGATCTCCGTCAAACATGGGGACTTGTGGTCTGGGTAATGAACTTTTCCTTTGTTGATCTGAAAATCCTTTCATAATTTCGTTTTGTTGCTGATTTAAATTATTCTTCTGGGTCTGAAGCAGCCTAGTCCCAGGCTCTCTCTCTATTCGCTGCTTTGATATATTTAATGGTCCCTGATTTCAAAAAGGTGGTCCCTGGCCTGGTTACCAAGCATACCGCTTTTGTAAATGGAAAAGGTTATGGAAATTTCCTTTGCATTCATAATTAAGTCATTAGTTTTGCTCTAATGCTGTCGGAGCAATGAAGTACGGTCAGAATGGAATAACGGGCTAAATATGACTCGTGTTTACTAAAATACATAGCCATATTAAATGCTATCTAGAAGCTTGAAAATTATGCCGAGTCTCCGACTAAGAATGTTTTGACAACACCGTCATGCCAGGCAAATATTTCCAATCTCCTCAGCAATTTAAACCTGTCAAGTAGAAAGCGTAGTTGTGTATACCAGTATGGTCTAGTGTTGATCACAACTTGCGAGTACATAAATAACGTCAATGATTGCTCAAACTCGGTATCGTAAATTTGTATATAAATTTTTTTAGTTGAGCACATTTTTAATACAGTTTGATTTGGTTATGTAGACATCGAACATGTACATGATGCACGAACATTGTCGTATTTATAATTAAAAGGTTACTTGTATACATAAATTTTCCGCCATAATAAAAAGGCATGTAGTAAAACATGGACTGGACTCATTAGTAAAACATGGACTGGACCCGATTTGTAAAACATGGACTCCATTAGTAAAACATGGACTCGACTAGTAAAACATGGACTCTATTAGTAAAACATGGACTCGATTAGTAAAACATGGACTTGATTAGTAAAACATGGACCCGATTAGTAAAACATGGACTCTATTAGTAAAACATGGACTCGATTAGTAAAACATGGACTCGATTAGTAAAACATGGACTCGATTAGTAAAACATGGACTCGATTAGTAAAACATGGACTCGATTAGTAAAACATGGACTCGATTAGTAAAACGTGGACTCGATTAGTAAACATGGACTTGATTAGTAAAACATGGACTCGATTAGTAAA